TTTTTTAATGTATGTTGTTAATAAATATCTTCATTTTTGAAGCAGCAGAAAAATATAAAAACCAGAATTTGGAGGGATATTCAAAACTTCTATATTAGAGAGTGAAGACAGTAATACATATTATGTTTTACTTACCAGAACTTAATAGTTACATAATTCAAGATAACAAGCTTCCTAAAATTTCTGCTATATCATTTAGACCCTGAGGAAGACACAAAATACTATTTATATCAATAAATTCTGATTGTTTTTAGTAGAAAGAACTATGTGATATGTCTTAAAAATTAAACTAATAGTTTCTATTATCCAGAATGATTATAAAATTGGAGTAAAAGGAAGATGAGAATTTACAACAATAAAATTATGACAAAAATTTGCTAGCTGCATAGAGAGATCCTAAATAAGTGGTTCAAAGATCTAAAGGATGATTAGGGAAAAAACATGTGGACTTGTAGATTAGCATATGCACCATGGAACTGGTTGCATTTAAAATGAGCCTTTAAAGCATGGATAGAAATAATTATTAAAAATAATTTCATTTCCTATAAGCAATTGCCAAAATAGTCTCGTGAAAATATGTTAACATGGGGTGTATTTTTTGTTTTGTACTTCTTGTTCAACTTAAGTGTATTTGACTAGTGTTATTCAAATAATGTTTAGATAACATACAGGAATATTTTTGAATAAAATATGTTCAGTTGGAATTTAGAGAAATGTTACTACTTACCTTAATAATTATTTGTTAAATATTGTCATTATTAGAATGTAAAAAGTCCATTTGGCTTCTATTGAACCTTATTTGTACTTGTTAATTCATTCTTTATTATTTGCCCACAGAATACATTGTAGCTTCATGAATGTTATGAACAATTTTTATTTTCTCACCAAACATATCTTGACAGAGAGTGAGCAATCAAAAAATAAATTATACAAACAGCGTCTTTCCAAATGCCTTCAGATTAAATCCAAATCTCTTATCATGGACTATAAGCTTTGTAAAAAAAGATTATACTTCTTGTCCTTCTGTCCTGGAATGTGTTTCCTGCAGTGTTCAGAGGCAAAGAAGAGGAGTTTCTCACGTGCAAGAAATTGTGAATAGGTCAGTATGGATGGAGACATTGAGTGTGTTAGGAGACCACATTTGAAGAGTTTTAAAATATTGTGTGGAAACTTCTTGGCTATGCTATCATTTTGTAATAAGACTATCTGAAGTTTTCAAAAAGAGGGCATGATGAAATGTTGTTGAGAAGTGAGTATGGAAAGAAAGTAATGCAATCTTAGAAAAAGTAATTTCTACTGAGAGTTTTCAGGAGAGTGGAGTAAATCGTGTGATTTAGAATGAGGAACTAGAGATGCACAATCTTAAGAAATTGTGTTCTGAAAGTTGAACAAAACTGGGAGCTTCAGGAGGAATTAGGATCAGGTGAATTTGATAGCTTTGTTGTTTGTTTTGTTTTGCTTGTTTCTGATCATGACAAAAGGATCTTAGGCACTTGAAGTTTTCATCTAGAGAGGAGAGGGTGCTCCTAATTCAAATAAGGATAATTTTTCTTTGATATGAGCGGATATATTATTATTATTATTATTATTACTATTTAGAGATTGGGTCTCTCACTCTGTTGACCAGGATAAAGTGTAGAGGTGTAATCATGGCTCATTGCAACCTTAAACTCCAGGACTCAAGCAATTCTCTCACTTCAGCCTACTGAATAATTGGGATTATAGGTATGAGCCACCACACCTGGTTATTTTATTATTATTATTTTGTAGAGATGGATGTCTGCCCAGACTGGTCTAGAACTCCCGAATTCATGCAATCCTTCTGCCTTGGTCTCTCAAAGTTTTGAGATTACAGGTGTGAGTCACTGCGTCCAGCTACATTTTTATTAGGAAGGTAGAGGGGATGGATACAACCAAATATAGTATTGAAGATTTGGTGGTAGGAAAAGAAGAAATTTTCTCTCTGATGATTCTGTTTCCTCAATGTAAGACAAATGAATACATCAGCTTGTAGTAAAAGGAAACAGAGTTTGTAAAGGGTTTGAAGGAAGACAAGAAATAACAAGATAATCATACTGATGCTGGGAAATGGAGGGAGCAATTAAGGAACAACTAAGGGAACAAGTATGTTTGTCTAGAAGTGTTGTATGACTCTGGGATTTGAAACTGTCATTTGCAGCCAAAGAATAATCATAGTATGTGATAGTTATCTTGAATAACATTGAACCACATAATGTATCTTTCTCTTTAAACATTTATTTACATTTCTTTAGCCACCTCAAATTAAGTAATGCCTTAAGCATTACTCAGAATCTTCTCTAACACATGTCATATCTAGTGTTCTCAGTCTGAGAAAATGGCACCGTATTTTCTGTGCAATTTGAGCCAAAAACCTTTCTCACTCACTCGACTAACGCATTAAATATATTATGAACTCTAGTTGCTTTTACCATTTCTCATTTCTTAAATTCACTTACGTTTATAGCTCACACTTGGAATCACTCTTATTAAGTAATATTGTCCCTTTCTGGACTACCGCAATAGAAACAGAAGGGTCAATTGCCTCTGTCCTGACTGTTCAATAAACCCACCCATGTTTCTGTGAAATTATCTCATCATCATCACTTTGATTTCATTACTTCCTTGCTTAAAACTTTCCAATTACTATAAATATACACAATGTCTATTTGTCAATTATACCTTAATACAGCTGAGGGGAACATTTTCTCAATGACTTCCTTTTGCCTATAAGGTAAAGTCTCAATTACTGATAAAAACGGTAAGGTTTTTGTGACTCAGTGCCTTCTGCCCTGTATAAATGTGCCCCTTCTATTTCTACTCTCTTCTTGATCAGTTCTTTGTTTCCTCCATCTCCCTATTTGTTCTCCACCTCATGTGGTCCTTTGAAAAGATTTCTTGCTCTAAAGAATTGCTACTCTTCTACTCAAACTGGGTAATTTCCTGCATCTTTCAAATCTTACCAGAGATTCAGCTTCCTGAGGGAAGTCTTCTTGGGTATTCCAGTTTAAATTGTCTATGTTCATTCCCATAGTTCTTCTTTTTTTCTAATATAATCATATTTATAATTATTCAAACAATACCATTAAGATTTACAAAGGCAAGGCCACATTTATCTTGTTCATATCTGCAACCCAGTCCAAGCACAGTTTCTGACCCTCCACACTTACTGAAAGCAATATGTTGAATTGAACAGAGAGATATTTTTATCTAACTTTTTTCTTATATTTATATTATTTCCTGTTTCCAAAGCTTCCATGGGGTGCTGAACAGAAGTGTTATGTATGATATCATATAAGATATTTAAATTAAAAGGCACTCATTAAAAAGAAATTACACTTGTTTCATGAATGATAAATGAATTCCAAATACTCAGAACATATGGATTGCCACTCCATCTTTTTCAAAGCAAATAGTATTTAAAGTGAGAATGGTTTCACTAAAAGAATAAAAGGAGGAAAATTGGATAACTTAACTATGTATAGCATTGGCTGCACAGCAATCCTATTATAAGAAAAATAATATTTTAAATCTTCTCCTAATCATTTAACTACAGGAATGTCCTTCATATTATCAAAAAGCTCTTCTTATCTTTCAAATACCTTCACATTCTTTCTGAATTTATAAGAGCATTAAGGCTTTACTATCACTGTAATTAGATCTACTGAAAAAAAGTACCTTATCATTTTTGCCAATTCCTGATTATTCACGGTGATGGCAGAGAAACTTAGCATGGATTATTAAAACCCGAGATCATTTATAGCATATGAAAATTGGCCCCAAATCACTATGTCTATCTATCAGAAATTTCTCCCTGAAATACAAGTTCACCTTTGAGCTCCAACAAATGTGCGTTGATGCTTGAATAAATACTCTTTAAGATATGTAGTGAATTTTGAAAATAGAAAAAAAATGTTGATTGACTTTATTTAAATTAAGCCCTAAAAAGTATTCAAATCATCAGTTTTGGTGGTCTTCAAGTAGCCTTTTCTGAGCAATTAGATTATTAAAATCTGTCTGCATTAGCCTTTGGGAAGAAAGAGTAATGTTAACATCTAGGGAATCCACAGTAAAAAGAAATTTAATTCATAAGTACTTACTTGTGTGACCACCAGCTTAGAAACATTCACAAAAATAGCAGGAAATGCATTCTGTATGTGATTCTAAATAGTACAGGAACAACATGTTTAATTTAATTTAAGTACTTCATGCCACATCATTCATTATTTCATGCATTTCGTAGCACTGTAAACAGCTATTGTGATCAAACACTGGTAAAGTAAATGCAAAACTAAATAAGATATAATTTCTACCCTTAATAGATCATTGTAAGTTAAATACTATAAATGTTACTGGCAATAGAATAGATCAATGTTGAATCAGTAAGTATCTAAGAAAAATTTCCAAAATGGAGTAAAATGCAAAACAAATGCCAAAAATCTGACTCCTCCTGAAATCAATATAATATGGATGATATTCTAGCTCATTTATGCATTCTCCCAATGTAACAGAATTCATGAAGTTTTTTACACCTACTAATTAATTTATTAATTCTAACAAAACATTTTGAGCACCTATTGTGTACTAAACAATTCTAGGAGTATATGGAATAATTTGTATTTTTCCAACATCGTGGCAATAACAATAAAGTGAAAATCGTACACAAAAAACTGTTTCAGTTTTAAATACATATAGTATTTCCCTTTTATCAATATGATTTTTTATAAGCTCCTGTGGCATAAAAATCATTCAAATATGTACGTAACATACATGTTTAATTGAATTACTTGGAATAAATATTTGATTATCTGAATGAATAGCCTGGTATTTATGATCCAGAAGCTTATGAAAAATTCTTGAAATTGATGCAAAGATTGTGTTATCTGTAATCTGCGTATAATAGTCAAAATAATGACATTATTCACAAAACAAACACTGCATCTGTTCCAGGGAAAAGCTTAGTCTCTTATTTCTTTTGACAGTGTGCAGACCTGGGTTCTTCAAAGCCTCACCTCACAGCCAGAGCTGCGGCAAATGTCCACCTCACAGTTATACCCATGAGGAAGCTTCAACCTCTTGTGTCTGTGAAAAGGATTATTTCAGGAGGGAGTCTGATCCACCCACAATGGCATGCACAAGTAAGGAAACCCATGGATATTGGGTGATGCTAACTTTCACTAGTTTGAAGAAATAGTATGATGGAGCCTGTTATATTCTATTGCCATTTCCCCATAAAACAGGCCTAATGTTTCATTGTCTTTTTATTGTTTTCACCAAATTCCAATCTTCTTGAGTAAGCATTAAAAAATTCGAGTCTCTTTTATCACTCACTGTTAGAAGCATCTATTTTCCCTACCTTAAAATTCAATATCTGAGACACAGATATACATTTTTTTTCTTTTATTTTGTGGCTTAATTTAGTGTTCATAATAACCAAGCATGACTTTGATAAATCCACTTCCCTATTCACACCAAACCTTTTTTTTTTCTTTTTCTTCTTCCTAAGTCAGTATTCTGATCACATAATTATACAGCAAATGGCGCTTTCACCATCTTGTTCTAACCTGCCCCAGTAAGACCACTGAGAATGTCATTTATAAAAGAAGACAGGAAACATTTTAAGAACATGAAGAACTGGGGGTGGCAAATCAGATTTAAGAATCACCTATAAATCAACTTTTTAGCTAGGGTTTTCAAGCAGCTGTCATGTTTCTTGTTAGTGAGTTTCCTTAACTATTGTTAATAGTGAATTTGCTGATCATATAATTAGATTAGATGAATAGTAAAAATAGTAATTCCAACATTGGCAGTGAATACGTCCACATTTTTTAATGCTCTTGGTGCTGGGTTTTGTTTTTTCCTATTTTTACATATACTTATTTCTGGAAATGTAATACACTTATGCATTTGTTTGCTTGATGACAATACTATCAGAGCTTTTCCACAAGCAGAGTCTCTATAGCTAATCAAACAAAAGCAGAAACTAAAAGAGAAGGACAGTGGGTCCCTCCCTTCTCCTAATGTTCAATTTCCATGACCAGGATTTTCTGTTTTAGGTTCCAGTAAACTGTAACTGCTCTGAAAGAGGTTTCTAAAAACTTTTGAAGTTTTAGTGTCTATCTCTAAATTTAAAGAGGTAGTTACAGACTTCTTATAATCGAATTGAAGTTTTACCCGAATTTTACAGTGTCAGCAAAACATATTTTCAGAATTCCTCAAATCATTGCTGTTAATTAGCTTTACATTCCTGAAGACCATTCTTTTCATCCTAAGACTACTGATTTTATGAGTTAGATAATTGTCAGTGAAAAAACACTTCCTCTTCAAAAGAATAAATGACATTATTACACACACTTTTAGAAAGACACATTTGAATTAAAAAGATATAAACTGTGATTGAATCTAATACATTTTGGTTGCAGTGGAAATTTAAACAATTATTTAGGTTAATGAGAGCAAAAGAATACTCAACAAAGAAAATGTTGACTAAACAATAGAGTGGTACATTAAAGAGAAAACCAAGTCTTGAATTATCTTCTAAAGTTTATTAATTTTCTAATTAATATTTTTCAAATGGTCCTACCATGACTTCACTCTTTTTCATCATAAATATAAGCCTCCTTTTCTATAAACTTTTTAAGTTTGGGGATGGGGGTTAGCTATGTTTTGGCGTCATGGATGGCTTAGCACTTTTTTTAAGGACCAAAGCCTACAGGCAGGCTTCGCATTTTCTCTCTCTCCAGGTATCTGAATTTCTACTACCGTGTTTCAAATGAACACTAATTTATATGTGTTTCTCAAAAAGACTACTAGGACTCATGTATAAGATCTAAGGTCTTTTAATATATAATCTGAGTGTGTGTGTCTGGTTTTAGTTGCATTCATAATACTGCAAATATGCACATGATTCCCTTATGGCATGATTGATGTTCAGATGAAGATCTTGAACTTTACTTTGTTTTTGGCATTTTGGAATTGAATTTATGGCTCCAACTCTTTTTTATTTTTATTTCTGAAATACATAGAGTTTTTAATCTAGAAAACAGAAGTTTATAAATCTACAGGGAAACAAGATAAAACAAAAATAAAACCCAAGATTCTAATGAATCTGTTTAAATTAAGTGTTGTTCTCAGAGTTCTACTTTGGTTCACACATCATATCTATTATCAGGCAGTGGAAATCATTGCATAATTTCTTTAAGTGCATATTAGTTTGAGCCTATAACTTTTATTTCTATGTTAAGGCTTCACTTGTCTTTGAGTTTTATTTTAACTTCAGGGGTGTATGTACCCTTATCTAAATGTTGAGAAGTTGTTAGTAGAAGAGTCAGAAGATAAAATGAGTCAGATTCTGATGCATTTTTATAGACTTATAGAAAAGGTGTTAAATGCAAGTATATTTCAAGTGGCAGGAAAAAAATACAGCAGTTTGACATCATTCTGATCTAGACATATTTTATATTTTACCATTTCCTCAGAAATTACACCTATAAATTTTGATCTCAAATTCTAATTTTTCTATAACTTTCCACTATTAACTGAGCTAAAATTTGTAGTAAACAAGAATATGTGTATCTGCATCTTAGGTAATTATTTCTAATTGAAAATGACTTTTCATATAAACGTGTGTAAGGTTGTTAAGTGTGGAAAAATTTATAGAGTTCAACCACAAATATAGTCAGCTGAGGATTATTTGCCAAAAATGTCAACTCTTTACTGATGGACTTCTTTCATTTAAATGACCTTTTTTTAGATTAGAAAATATAATTTATTTAGAAATTAAATTAAGAGAGAGGAAGGGGAGATTCACTTCCTCAAGGTAGGGGAGGGGGCCGAAACCTTAAATGACATTTTTTGCAGTTAAATCTTAACTACTCTGCAACTTTCTTATCACTTTTAAAATTAATCCCCAACAGTCATATCTTAATTTTAGGTAGAAATTAACGTTAATTTTTATATTTGACAATGCATATTAGGATAACTAAACTAGATCACCCTAAGTAGCTTAATTTATGCTTATGAACCATTCATATACCACCATATTCCATTTTATTTTCTGTAGAATGAAATGTACAAATTGTCGCTGAAACAAATATAAATATATTTTCTCTTTGAGAACATCTAATCATATAAAATTGACAGCTAACTGAAGATTTAACTCTAAATATTTAAAGATTGACTACAGAGTTAGACATTATGTAATCAATTTTAGTTCCCTTTATTATGTTAATTATTAGGTTCAGGATTCTTTAAAATAACATACAAATAGATGTCACACAAAAAAAATGGCCGGAATCCATTCATCTAAGAATTACTTTTAACCAAGAAGTTTTTAAAGCAATTCTAAGTGTGGATTTTCTTACTCAAATTTGAGTGGACATGTTTCATCTTGTAAAAATATAAAATATATTTTAAAAATTACATCAAGTTGTCATTAACATATGTTTAAAAAAAAAGCATCTAAGAAATTCAGTTAAATGTGTTTCTTTCCTTATTGTGGTAGGTTATTGGAGATTGAAGTTTGTTCTGTTCAAAATCTGAGCATTTTTATTCTTATTGTAGTGCTTTTGAGGGTTATTATAAAACAAATTTTAGATTTTTAATCAAGTAAAATTTATAAATTGCAGTGCCATAATATAAAACAGATTCAAAGTAAGAGAAGTTTTACGGCAGATTGTATTGTTGACCATCTACTTCAATCCTAGTGCTTTCTTGACATAGAAGAACGTTTTAAATTTTGCTAATGATTTATCCAGTAGATATGCAATCTATTTCGAGATAACCTAAGACTATTTTTTCTAATTGCTGCAGAATTTGTTGTCAAGAGCCACACTGAAAACTTATTATTATCTATACTCATTTATTAGTAAATACTTTGTGTTTCCCTTGTAGGTTACAAGTGACTAATGTCACTGAGAAAGTATTTGGTACAGCCTCCAAAAAGATACACTTAACACTTTTTAAGCGTATTATTTTATCAAACAGTATTTGTACATGCATAGCTTTTCCCCATAATTATTTATATAGCATACATATATACTATATATGTGTGTGTGCTAAGCAAAACATCTGCTATTAATAAACTAGTGTCATAACAATGCCTAGAAAAGTCCTGTGTATAGGGCATAAACCCCTATTGTCCTAAAAATCTTATAACAAGATTCTTCAAGATAATTACAAATTATCACTTAAACCTTGATTGAGAATCCATCCCCCCCCACCCTTCAGATCAGGAATTGGTGTGGTAAATGGTGCCTAATTAACATCATCTTAAAATATGTTTTTCTCACTTTACTTTGCAAACCAGGACCCCCCTCCGCTCCTCGGAATGCCATCTCAAATGTTAATGAAACTAGTGTCTTTCTGGAATGGATTCCGCCTGCTGACACTGGTGGAAGGAAAGACGTGTCATATTATATTGCATGCAAGAAGTGCAACTCCCATGCAGGTGTGTGTGAGGAGTGTGGCGGTCATGTCAGGTACCTCCCCCGGCAAAGCGACCTGAAAAACACCTCTGTCATGATGGTGGATCTGCTTGCTCACACAAACTATACCTTTGAGATTGAGGCAGTGAATGGAGTGTCCGACTTGAGCCCAGGAGCCCGGCAGTATGTGTCTGTAAATGTAACCACAAATCAAGCAGGTAAGTGCCATGCCCAATCAACTTGTGTCTCTTAGGTCTAGCTCTGTCAATTATCTGCATAGCTGAGGGCCAAGTTGACTGACATCTGTGAACTTCCTATAAATCACAAGGTCAGGACTTCAAGTATAAAATCTCTCAAAAATGCTTTTATAGTTTTAAACAAATAAAAGCTGAGACTTTCTTAACAGATATATCCACAGATGCACAAAAAAAGTTTTTAATTTTTTGTCATTAAAAATACAATTACTGGATAAAGTCCAGTTGTAGCAAACATTTTTATCTTTTCACACCATTCATTTTTATAGCTCAAATCTATATTTTTGCTGTTTCCTTCAAATTTAAAAAACAACTGTGTTAATTTAGCATGCTGTCAGGCAGGTTTTATTTTCTTGTTTGTTTGTTTGATTGCTTGGCACCACAGCTGATTTTTATTTTTTATTTTGTAGATCGTAGCAGTCCTTTCTTATTATTTCTATTATTTTTGTAACAAAATGCATGCAATTAATTTTTCTTTGCTAGATCCATGTATCAAAATTATAATAACTATGAACTATTATACAACCACATGAAAACACATCTATGTTCTATCTGAAAATATTGGAATTATCAAAGATAATTATTAGAAAATATGGAATACAGTCCAGTGTGAGCTATTAATTTTTCCCTTAAATATTCACTTTTAAGCAAATCAACATAGAAAATTTCTGGTAAAATAAAATCAAGAATAAACTAGAACTGATTTAATAATTCAACCTACTATGTGGCAAGAATAATTCCAAGCTTCAGAGTAAGTTCTAACTTGTTTTTGTCCTCCAACAGATATGTGAAAGGGGAAGACAAAGACATTAAAAGACAAAATGTTGGCACTTTTCTCAATTATCTGGTCACAATTCTCTGTCCGAAATGTAGTAAGTTATCATCTCACTAGTACTTCAGGCTGGCTTTGGTCAATAAGCAATAAGCACATCCTTGCCACCAGTACTCAAAATGAAGTCAGATATATTAGACTGAATCAAATCAGACACAGTTTATAAGATAATAGCCTAAGTTTGTAGGTTGTGAAATGATGGGGTTAATGAAGAAATACTGTTGATTATCAAGTCTCAGCTAAAATAATTAATTCGAATTGTTGGATATATAGAGTTAATCAAGAGGTTATCTTTTTTTTTTTTTTTTCTTTTTTGAGTCAGAGTCTCACTCTGTCGCCCAGGCTGGAGTACAAAGGCACACTCACGGTCATGGCAGCCTCAACTGCTGGGCTCAGGCGAGGCAGCCTCAACTGCTGGGCTCAGGCGATCCTTCTGCCTCGGTCTTCCAAGTAGCTGGAACTACAGGCACACGCTATCATGCCCAACTCATTCTTTTGATTTATTGTAGAGACGAGGTCTCGTCAAGTTGTGCAGACTGGTCTCGAACCCCTGGGCTTAGGCAATCCTCTCGCCTCACCTCGACCTCCCAGAATGCTGGGATTACAGATTTGAGCCACTGCGTTCAGCTAAATAGTTATCTTTTAAGAATAAGATAATGCATACAATTGAGTTCATAGTGGCTTCTGACTGATGAAGCTGAAGGAGATATTTAAGATTAGTCCAGATGATGTGAATCGCATGAGTAATTCAACAAGAATCACTCTGACAGTGCTACATGTTCTTATCCACATTGAATAACTGTGCATGGCATTTTTTCCATTAGTGAAAATTATGTGTACACATATGCCACTTTTCCCAGTGAATACTTTATGTTTATTTTTTTAACATTTACTCCCTAACGTGAGTTGGAACTAATAGAAATGCTAAAGTGTTAGACAGGAGTAGTGAAAATCAATTTTTTCTCTCAGTATAGACTCAGCTTCAGGCAATGCTAGCATATGTTGATTTTCCATCACAGCATCTAGAAATCACAAGTATTCAGTAAATGTGAACTCTCTTCCCATATTAGATGAATACTGACTTTAACCCTGTCGTTTCAGGATTCTCATGAAACATCTTTCAACTTTGCATGGTTCTATGCATGAATCTTCCATTAACATGTTGTAAGCATATTGAACAATCACTAAGAGTTGCGGTACTTTGGGAGAAAATTCTCTGGCCTGAATAACCTTAACTTCTTTGAAAGACACTCCTTTGATTAGCTAGATGCAGAAAATGACAGCTTAATTTTTAATGGTGTGCTCAACAAATATTTACTGTAGTTGTTTTTTACTTGCTGGCCTATTCAGACTCCAAAGTGTGTGATTTGGGTCTTGAATACCTTAAATTCCAAAAAAGATGAATTTTTGTTCGACTGTTATAGACATGGCTATGATGTGGAACAACGCAGAGCAGACATTTTGCTGATTTTTGCTTGCTGCATTTTTTCAAGTTCTTATAGTACACATTGTACATTTTGGCAAAATTACTCAGAAACTCCAAATAATATTTGTCTCAGTATCATCATTCCAGATAAACTACGTGTTACTTTCTGGAAAAATTGCTCATTTCAAATAACTTCTAAAAAGACATAGGTTTAATGCCACTATGGCTGAACACTTTTCAACTACCAACATTGTGGAAAGTGGATTGAAGTAGCTAGTTTTAATGTCTGAATATTTTTTTAAAGAATGAAGTTGAAGTTATCTGCAACATATGTAGTCTTTATATAAGATTTCTTTCAGCATATTTTAAGTTTAGTTATAAGCTCTTTTAAGGATTGTTTTCTGAGGAATATGTTGCTTTCCTAAATAATTTATTTCAAATTTATAATTGACCCCACAGTTGTTCTGGTTTTTATAATTGATAGTGCAGAAGCAGAGGGAATGCTTCTCTTTTTCCCTCTATGAAATAATTTTGCTGCAATGACTGACAATAGACAGATTAGTAAAATGAAAAAAAACCATAATAAGTGTATTAATGTGTACATGGACAAGGGAATCCGACAAATATGCGACTCAAAGAAGGACCAGATGGTTGAGGCTTAAATACCCTTTTCATAGGGGAGAGAAAAATGAGGATTGTAGAAGTAAGTGATTTTTAGGAGAAATAAATGAGTCCAATGAACAATGGCAAAGTTCCTGTGAGCTCTAGGGGAGTTGGTTGGAAGGTGAGGGGAAGAATTTCACTGTGAACCAAAGTTGTCATATTATGCAAATAAAGCCTCCCAGGTAATCTTTCAGAGTTGCCCTCAGAAGAATAGATTAAAAAATCTATCTGAGCATAGTAATGACTTTTAGTCTCTTCTCTTCTTTAGTGATTAATCTTTTCTGATTACCTGATGTGATTCCAAGGAAGAAGATTTTAAGATATTTATGTTTCTTTTGAAAAGTTATCCTTAATCAGAATTCTAGAAAAAGTTCCTCCCTGCACTTGAGGGGAATGATGGGACGGAGGAAAGAAACAAGAGTAGCTTAGGAAGTTTTTGGTTCTGAGACAGCTTTGAGACCTTTTGATGTCTTTTAATTCAAAGTGTACATCATACCAAAGCATTATACTCTGGGGTATTTCTCTGTGTCTCAACATTCTGACTTTTTTTTCTTGTTATAGCCATGCACATAGGAACAAACCAAGTTCCAAACTAGATCCAAAAAGTACAAGAAGAAAAGAATAGTTATATTTTTCAAGATGGAAAATTTACATTAGGCTAGGACATAAAATTGAATACCTAACCCTAGTTGATAGCATATAGAGGGTAGTGATTAAATGATCTATTTATGAATGTTTATACAGTATGTAAACATTTCCCTAACTATTATATCATTATAGAGTCAAGCATCTTGCATTTGGGAGAAGCTTTCTGAATTAAAATGGTACTTTTTAACATGCAATTTTTTTTTTTTTTTTT